CCTCATTGGCACACAGCTGTTGGTTGAAGCAACAGAGGGGATTAAATCACCTAGAGAGGCAAGTGAAGTGCAATAGAAGACAACCAAGGTCCGAACCTTGTAGATTACTGATATGTGAGATGTAGGCACAGAGAAAGAGGAGCTAACGAAATGAGAAAAGTTTCAAAAGTGCAGAGTGTTGGCTGAGGAGTTAAGGAAGGGGAGCTTAGTCGAAGGTCAAACAAGATGGGGACTTGAGTAGGTTTTCACCTTTCTCTGGCACGGTGGAGAAGGGAACCAGATTGTACGGGCTTAGAAGAACTCAGTGAAGAGTAGGAAGAGTTGGTAACTGGAGGGAAGAAAGAGGTGGAAGAACATGGGCTGAGGACAGAGAGGGAGGTTGATTAACTTGAAGAGCAAATCATTGGGCAGGTACAGCAAAGACTGGTGGTTGTTGACTATTGCTGAAATGTCTCTGTATGGCCTCTCTAGCATGGCATATCAGGACTCTCAGAGGGAGTATTCCTAGAGAATGTGCTCCAGCAAGCACTGTAAAGGCTGTAGAGTGAAGCTGTCATACAAACTCTTTAGCTTCCATATTGTTTTCTGGAACACTCTTGTCAACAGTGCTAGCTGATTCTGTCTTCAGCCATCCCAGCAGGATGAAAAGGGGGAAAGGGATGAGACCTGTTTCTTCCAGACAAAAAGAAAGGAACAACAGTTTTTATAGTCATGGTGCTGGATAGCTCCAAAGAAGTGAGCAAAGGTGCATGAAGAGTGGAAGTCTGAGAGACGGTGCCTAGCACAAAGCCAGGAGCCATGATTCCCTGCAGTGAATGAGGAGGAAGACTGGTCATCATCCTGGGAAGTTTGCTTCCACCTACCGCTCCCTGAAGGCCAGGATTTAGTGTCCTTGTATCTAATGCTCTCTCTTCAGTGTTGCCATAGGCAGCATGGGCATCATTGTGAAGTAGGTAAACTTGCATTGGTGCCAAACCACGCCCTCCTTTCTGCTTCCTGCTTTTCTCTTCCCTGCACTCCTGACTTGGACCTGTACCCCTTTGGATTACTTCCTGGTTATTCTACCTGCCCTGCCAGGTATATGCCCATGGCACTGTCTTTTTTGATCCCCAGCAAAAACAAAAACAAAAAACAAAAACAAACAAACAAAAAAAACCAGTGTTGTGCCTTATTTACTCTTGGTGTTGCTGTTATTTAATCCTATAAGCTTCTTCCCTAAGAGAGTGAAGAGGGTCTGGGAAATAGGTCTTTTACTAGTTCTCAAATAACACCAACTAGATGACCCAGTGTAGGCAAGGGTGGCTCTGTTAGTTGGGGTACATGAAATTATCGAATTTTCTTTCTGTCTGCTTCCCTTTGCTGCTTGACTTTTATTTTAAGGTCCCCTTCTTGCTTCTCCTTCCCCTGCCAGGCTGTCTTCATCCCTTGCTAAGCCAGCCCAACACAAACATGAGTTAGATGCTACAACTTTACCAAGGAAAGTCCTTGACTACATGCCTTTTCCAGAGAAAGGAGTTGTGGTGGTTTGTTTACAGGACCTGTGCAGAATATAGCTATTTTATAAACTACCTATTGGTATGTGTGTATTTCAGTAATTTAAGACTGATGAAAAAGGCTGACTCTGTGCCTTGGGACACTTTCTTCAGTCCTGGGTCTCAGTTCTTTCCCTGTGGAAAGAGGAGATTGGACTAAATAATCAATAAATTCTCTCCTGGCTCTGAATGATCCTGTGGAGGCATAAGAAATTACTTGATCATCTCTATAATGTGCTTCAACTTACAAATTTAATGTTAAAGAAAGAATCTTGTAAAGATTAGTGTCTCCCTAATTATTCTGATTGTTGACATTGTGCTTATGTGTAATTTCATACGTTCATGCACTTCCGTTGTACCCGTAATACTATTAACCATTCATGTATTTGTGTGTGAATCACATATAATTCATACACAAATAGATATAATTATATGTAATTATATATAATGTATTTCATTTGTAAATATGTGTATATACATTGTGTGTATGTATGTATGTGTCTGTGTGTGTGTGTGTATATATATATATATATATATGTAAAAAGAGACACATAGTCTTTATCTTTTTACTTTTGGTGGGTTTTTTTTATGGTCTTATAATAGTTTATTAACTTCTTATTTCCATGAATCTTATTTGAAGCTACTGGTGCATTTTGCACATAGATTTGGACCTTCTTAAAGCAGCTTATAATGAAAATGTGGATTTAATCATTATGTAGGTCATTTTAAAAAACTATAAACGTGTGTTGTGTATATATCTATACACACATATACAGTCTTTGTATCTATACATATATATGTATGTATATGGAATTTTATTTTTGTAATGACATTTCTGACAGAATAATTATCAGAGATTCTAGGGAGAACTATTTAATGGTATTTAATCTGTGCAGAATATTGGTGACCTGAGTTATAAAATTAATTTCTAGCTCTTTGCTGATTTGCCTAATGCCTTAGACCAAGACTGTCTGTAAAAATAAAATGGCAGACACATATGTAATATAAAGCATACTAGAGGCACATTTAAAAACCTAAAAGGGAATAAGTAACATTAGTTAATATATTTTATTTAACCCAAGACGTTCAAAATAATATTTTAATGTAAAATACAAAAACAAATATATAAAATATATGTTTTTGAACCCAAGACGTTCAAAATAATATTTTAATGTAAAATACAAAAACAAATATATAAATATAAAATGGAATGTATAAATATGTGTTTATATATAATATAGTGATATATCAAAAAAAGGGATGTAGGGGTGCCTGGGTGGCTCAGTGGGTTAAAAATAGGAATATAAACAAATATGTCGAGATATATACACTTTTTATAAATATAAAATATAAATCTAAAATAAATAAAAACATTTATTCCTATCATTTAATAATGTTCTGTGCTGGCATTTGAGGGGTGTGTAGATTTCTTTACAGGTGATTAGGACCATTGTCTGACTAGGGTGTTCCTTCTTCGTCTTTTGAAGTCAAGCTTTTAGAGAAAAAGCCACCATAAGTACTTGAGATTAAAACCCATATACTAAATTTGAATTGACATTTGAAAATCATATAAACCAACCTAAATATAAGCAAAGGTGAATATAATTTATAAGCAAGGTTTATTTTTTTTTAAATCTTTTCTTTGGCAAAGACAACCTATTTAGTCTTTTTCTACTCCCAGTCTTTTAATCCATTTTATGTTATTTGCTCTTGTGGATTTCTTTGAGGTGTTTTCAAATGCCAGTCTCTTTGTTATTGCTGCTATGATTTTAGCACAAAATTCACCATCAACTGTCCTTTGCAAGCAGGGCTTTAAGAGAAAGAAGACTAAGGCCTAGTCCATGCCCCTTCTGAGCCATTTGAATTTTTTGTTCTTTATTTTATTTTTAGTTTGTTTTTGTGGGGACGTATTATTTTTAATTAGTATTAATGGTGAGGATGATAACCTTTTAGAGAATATCTTGACTTTTTTTTCCCCATTGTTAGAATATGAAATGCTGTGTTGAATATTTTCCTTTGAGAAATAGCTCTTGAGATAGAGGGGGAGGCCCAGGGGAGTACCAGGTGGGGAGTACCAGGTTGCTAATTGAATATTAGTGTTTCAACCCAGCTTTCCTTGTTGAGAATTTGATCTTTAATCTGCTCTTGGACAAGTAGTTCATTTTTAGAACCCCAGATTCCTCATCTTTAAAATGGAAGATGGGTTCATTATGTCAAATCTTTCTCTTAGATACAGATGTCTCTAAAATTAATAAAAATTGGCTTTACAGTTTTTGTGACCGAGGGCATCCTAGATGTCAGCCAGCCTGGTCTACCATTTCACAGGCAAACAAAGTAAGGCCAAACAGGGAAGTGACATGGAGGAGGCACAAGACTGTAACATAATCATGGGTTTGCTGGCTTTTATTTTATATTGGGATATAAGTTATATTGATATTAAAAATACTTAGTTTAGAAATGTGATTTTAATAGGTTTAGGGAAGCATTAACCTCAATTAATGCCTATGTGTAGTACCTGGGCTGTTCTGAAATCTAAATGAAATGATCATATAAAAATATCCTAAGACTCCAATTCATTAACAGAAAATGCAGATTTTAAACATGTAGGGTTTTACAAAACCTACATGTAGGATAGGGTTTAAACAAAAACTCATCTTTTAATTTCCTTGAGTAAAGTTAAAATTCTGTTTTCCTCTTATAAGATATGCTGACTCACAAAATTGAGGGATATGATTGTGTTTTACTTGTGAAATTTATGAAATGTCAAAAATCATTTGGTAGCTTGCAGGAGAAACAAAGCTCAGCTAGAAATAAAATCCATATAAAGTTACATGGAATGCTTGAGTAATCCTAACTTTTTCAAAATCTAAATAGAAAAGCTATTTGATATCTGAGAGATAGGGGAAACACCCATAAACACTAGTTAAAAATCACATTACTTTTAAAATATTTTTTTATTAAGTAAACTACACCCAGTGTGGGGCTCAGACTCACAACCCTGAGATCAAGAGTTGCATGTTTTACTGACCGAGCCAGCTAGGTGCCCCCAAATGATATTACTTTAACCAATATTTAGCTTTTGAAAGGATGGAAGACTACGTCAACTTCCCACCATCTGTAGGAATTTTTCAATTATGTAATTTGAAGAATTAAAAAATATATATATTTTAAAATTATATATGCATAGTTTTAACACACACACACACACATAGTTAATTACATGTGGAGGAATTGTTTTTCACCATTTCTACTAAAATTATTTTAACATTTATACTTAAAACACATTTTTATGATTTCTCTTCACAGGAAATCATAAAAATCATTATTGACATGAAAGTGACCAAAGATAAACCTATAAGGAAAAAAAGATGAAAAATGATTTGTAGCAAAAGAAATATAAAACATTAAGTTATTTTTAAACTCATTACCTAGAATCTCTGACAGATTTGTATTTTTTCTGCTCACTAGGCAAGCCATCAGGAGCCTGCATTGATGCCCTGGCTCTGAAGCTACTTGGCTTTGTTCTCTCAGACCTGTTAGTCACCTCCCTGGATCACAGGTCCCTGTGTTATTTAACTTATTTTATTTTTTATTTCTTTAATAATCTGTTTTAATTTTATTGAAGTGTAATTGTTGTAGTGTTATTATTTTCAGATGTGTAACATAGTGATCTGATAATTCTATATGTTTCGTAAGAAAGGGGCTTTATTCGATTGTTTCTCAACTCCCTCTAGGCCCTAAATTTTGTGACTTACCCTAGTTCTAAGACTGCACCAGAGAAATAAATCCAAAGACAAAACAAGATATTGGGCCCTGGTAATATTTCTAGATGAAGTTAATCTCTGAAAAAATGGGAAGATGGAACTGGCAGAAAATTATGTACTTCAGATTGTGTAGTTGGAAGCTAAATTCAGGAGATATGCCACAGGCTTCCAACATTTGCTGTGGATAACCAAAGATGAACCCTCTAGTAAAGAGAGGACATAGAAGGTGCTCAGTAAATGTGAAATAAACAGCATTAAGTGTCTACCCTCTAGTGGCTACAGAATATATCTAAATGCTGAAAGGGACAGAAGGTGGCTTCAGAGATTGGTCCTTATGTCTCCTCAGTCACATCTCCTCTTTCTTTAAGTTTTAGGAATGTACAACTTCTTATGGTTGGTGGCATGCACACTCCATGGAGTTCTGCTGTGCAAGAATGTGTTCATTGCTTTCAATCTGTCTGGAATAATTACCAGCAGCCAGCTCACAGCCCCCTCTTCTGCCCCCACTCGTATACTTCACCTGGCCAGCCTCTACTGATTCTTAGAAACTCACCCCAGAGGCCACATAGGAAGGCAACTCTGTATCTTCCCCTCTCTTTTCCTCCAGCCCTGGGCTCCTTCTTGTGTCATGGCACTCATTCCACATCACAGAAAACACCTGCCATTCCCTGACTTCAGAGTCTCCTTTTTGGTTATACGTAAATAGCCCCAAAATTTTGTAGCATGTGGTGATGTGTTTTCACTGAGGTTTAATTTTAAATAATGGTTCTTTATGTCATCAAAAGTAAGAAACCATTGCTCATGAGACCTTTTACCATTTTATGTTCTGTGAAGAAACAAAAGTGACTGCCAGACAGTTAATAAGGTTATCAATTATAGGACACATCTCAGCTTCTAGAATGTTGGGATGTGAACAGATTTGCATTTGTTCAGTGATATGTGGAGCTATCAAGCCGGTGTTTGGGAATGAGTGATTTTACTCTGGAATGATCCAAATGTACCACTTTGCACTCACATCACTTGAAAAGTGTGTTTCTTATGCAGGGTGGGGGGAATGACACACGTCGCAAAGAAAGCTAAATGCTGGTATGCACAGCAGTGCTGAAGAGCTTTAAGATAGCGACAATTTTTAGTTGGAAAATAGGAATTTTGAATAAGTTAGAAAAATGACAAATTTGGCAGCGGCTCAGATCTGCAATTCAAGAGAATCCACCATATGTTCAGTGCAGATACGGGGAAAAGGGATTCTGGACTCAGTTTTAGATAGTACTCCATCTAATAGAGAAACTGCTCACTGATGGAAGAGAAAAATCTGCTAAAGTTGGAAAGGTAATGAATTTGAGACCTAAAACTGCACAAGATACACAACAGACTTGGAAAATGTGATTCAAGAGAAAGTTTATTGAAATATTTTTGTGGATTGAGAGTACTGATGCAGTAAATGTAACTATCTTACCTTTACTCTGAGTAAGGGTTGGCTCAAGAATTTTAAATTCTTTGCATAATTCAGATGTAATTGGAGGTATCATCAGCTAACTCCGTAAGCTCATAGAAAAGGATTCTGGGCCAAAACAAATGTTCAGTGCAGCTGAAGCCAGCCTATGTGGAATGAAAATACTTCCCCATGTTATATTTCCAAGGAGGAAAATCTAGTATCAAGGTTTAAGGCATCTGAGGACAGACCAACTCTTCTTCTTTGCAGCAAAGCATCAAACTTTGTTTAAATCAGACTTGCTTTAGCATTTTGGGAACCTCAGAGTATTTAGAAAAAATTTTTGGCTTATATATTGACCATCTAGTGTTTTCCAAATGGCTTTTTCAGTGGCTATAGGAAATGAAAAACAAGCTGTAGTCTGTCCACAGGGGTGGATAAAATTGAAGATACAGCATAGCCATTTGTAAGAAAAGCAAAGAAGAAAAATAAGCGTGATTATTCCACAGAACCCCAGTACAAACGCTGAATGAAGTACCCCTCATCCCTATTCCCCTAGTTCTCCTCCCAAGACAATGGCCTCTCAGCCACATGGGTATGGCTGAGAACAGATGTGCTCCCTAATACCTGGCTTTGGTGGATGAGGTCCGTGTACTGTGTCCCCTTCAAGGTGCAGCCTGGCAAAGTCTAGGAAGATTAGGTAGTCTTTGTGTCACTTCAGAAGGTGCTAGCTTCAGCAGCATTTCCACCTCTGAGCAGACATCTTTTCCTTCTAGTACTTGTCTTAGACCCAAGAGGCCACTTCTTACTAACCCATCCCCTTACCTTCAGTTTTGTTACAGCAAAATTAGGAGTGTGTGTGTGTGTTAAAATAAGTTCTGCACCCAACATGGGGCTCGAACTTATGACCCCAAGATCAAGAGTCACATGCTCTACCAACTGAGCCAGCCAGGCACTCCAGAACTTGCTTTCTATTGATCTGTTAACTCTCGGGGCCCTACTTCTTTGAGAAGATCTTAATTCTTTTTGTTTGTTTGTCTGTTTTTTTGTTTTAATTTTTTATTTTTTATAAACATATATATTTTTATCCCCAGGGGGTACAGGTCTGTGAATCGCCAGGTTTACACACTTCACAGCACTCACCATATCACATACCCTCCCCAATGTCCAGAACCCCACCCCCCTCTCTTAACCCCCCTCCCCCCAGCAACCCTCAGTTTGTTTTGTGAGATTAAGAGTCACTTATGGTTTGTCTCCTTCCCAATCCCATCTTGTTTTATTTATTCTGGAGAAGATCTTAATTCTTATTGGCTCATCTGCTTTGTCTTCCTTGGAGAGACAGAATTTAGGGAAACATAGATATTCATGTGGTCACGTTGTGCTAAATTTAACTATTTTTTTTTCTTTCATGGCACTCATGCCATGGCAAGTCCATAAGCAGCTTGATGCTTGCTCTTCTTTGCTTATCTCCCAAAGTAATGTGGCCACAAACAGAACTTTAGGAAGTCTTCTCTGTGCTATTAAAATGACCGAGACATGATAGCATTCATTTGGGGCTTATTTCCCAAGTGTCTTGCGGCAGAAATGGAGATATAGCCTTCTTTGCAGATCAATGAATTGAAGTATTAGCTAATTATAGATTTTATTGTATTTTATAGGGAAATGACTTTTCTAACAACAGATTCTATAAATTTGGGGAGTCACAAAGATCTTTTTTATATGTCCCTTGCAAATATCAACAGTCTCTTGGATCCAAAAATTATGTTTATATCCCTGCTTAACCTACATTGTCCAGTACTGTAGCCACTAACCACATGTGGCCATTGAGCACTTAATGTGGCTAATCTCAATTGAGATGTTCTGTAAGCATAAGTATACACCAGATTTTAGACTTGGTACAAAAACATGAATGTAAAATAAAACATTAATAATTTTTTTTATTATATGTTGAAATAACATTTTAGATATATTGGGTTAAATAAAATATTTTACAATTTTTTAGTATTTCTTTTCACTTTATAACATTGCCATTTAATCATTTAAAATTACATATGTAGCTCATAGTGTATTTCTGTTGGACAGAGCTGATTTAGACTGTAAGTTACTTGAGGCTAGACAGCACATGGTACATATTAACCAGATGCTCAGTGCATGCCCAGTGCAACCAAACTGATGAACTGAGATGAGTGAATAGGTGAGAATTCTAATGATTTTTTTAAAAGATTTTATTTATTTGACAGAGATCACAGGCAGGCAGAGAAAGGGGGAAGCAGGCTCCCTGCTGAGCAGAGGGCCTGATGTGGGGCTCGAACCCAGGACTCTGAGAACATGACCCGAGCCGAAGGGAGAGGCTTAACCCACTGAGCCACCCAGGTGCCCCATAATGATTTTTTTTTAAGGAGTGATTTTGACACTGTGAATTAGGATGGCTGCTTTCAAAAAAAAAAAAAAAGAAGAAGAACAACAACAAGAAGAAATAGAAGAAAAATAACAAGTGCTGGGGAGAATGTGGAAAAAATGAAACCCTTGGAACACTGTTGGTGGGATTTTAAAATGGTGCAGTTACTGTGGAAAAAAATATGGAGGTTCCTCAAAAAATCAAAACTAGAACTATGATCCAACGATCTTACTTCTAGGTATATACGTAATAAAAAACCCTGGATCTCAAAAGATATTTTTGATATACACCCATTTGATATACACCCATATTCATTACAACATTATTCATAACCAGGATGTGGAAGCAAGCTAAATGTCTATCAGTGGATAAAGAAAATATGCTTTATATATAAAATAGAGTATTATTCTACCTTTAAAAAGAAGGAAAACCTATCATAGGTTAGAGAACTTTGACAACATTATGCTAAATAAAATAAACTAATCATAATAAAGATAAATTCTGCATAATTTCACTTATAAAGTATCCAAAATAGTCAAACTCATAGAAACAAGAAGAATGGTGGTTGCCAGAGTTTAGTGGGTAGAGGAAATGAGGTATTTGATGGATACAGAGTTTCATCCATGCAAGATGAAAAAGTTCTGGAGATCTGTTATATGACAATGTGCATATAGTTAACAATTCTGTAAGGTACACTTACTCATTATTAAAGGATATATTTATGTGGTTTTTACCACAACTAGAAATTATTCAGAAAGTCTCAACTATACTAATAGATCATGGTGAAATTGGACTCAAGGAAAGAATATAATTTGTTTCCTTGAACAGTATTTTTTCCTAAGAAATTTTGTTAGAAGCTTTGAGCTAAGTGTGTACTTGCAGGGAAGCTGTGTGGGTGTTGAGAGGACTAGAAGCTGGCGGTCTCCCTATGATGTATGGAGTAGAGGGCAGGGTTTATTTATTACGAATGTCCTTCCCAAGGCAACTTGTCCACAAATGTGGAAGCCCTCCGGGAGGCAGAGAGATACTGATGAGTGGCTGTTCTCATTTCAGAGGCATGTGGACACCCCGGGAAAATATCTTCCTTGCTCCCTCCTGCCCCCATACCTGAGACCTAGAGTTTTAGCACTTTCATTTAGTTCCCTTAAAGCATTTTAAAAAGCTTTTTAACATTTTAAAATGGCAAAAATAAAACTCTAAGAAATCTTTGGTCATCTTAGGGGTACTGATTGCCAGGTCCCTTTCTGGGGTAGAGGAAGAACAACTGGATTGATTTTGTGGAATAGCCAAAAGCGTTCACTCTGCGTGCTGAGCATTCCTCTGGCAACCAGCATTCTGTGTTTGGCCAGAGGCCATTCCTTTAGGCGTCACGCTCTCCATTCTCTACAGAAACTGGTAGGCAAGTATGTTTGGGTTGGTTTGCTCTACCAGTGAGGCTGGCTAGCTTTCCGGAGTAGGGCAAAGGGAGTGAAAGACAGTGGCACAGAGTTACTCCCATGTTTACTGATGAGGTGAAAATACAATGCTAGGCTGATAAAAACACAAATAATCACATTTTCCTCCTTTTAACCCTTCTTAATATCTTGCTTTAGCCTTTTCTATTGTGTGTATGTTTTATTTTCAGTGTGCTGGCTCATTGACTCATTTTTTTAGAAATATTGTTGTGAAATACTTATTTTGTTTTCTGGCTAACTAAGGACTTTATTTCAATAAAAAAAAAAGTTAGAAATAAAAAATTGAAAGTGATTTTCCTGGGTGTCAGGAAGGGATTAGGACAAGGATTACCTATGGCTAGGCCAGTACCCTCATATACTGAACGAGTTGTGGTAATTCCCAGTTTCCTTCCTGGTCACTGATAAGGAACCTCAGCAAGTACAGTATTCTGTGCCAGAGCCCACTTACCAAGGGCAGCTTGGGCTGAGGGTCAGTTCCTGGGAGGGAACATGCAGTCAGGCAGCAGCATGGCCAAAGGCCAAACACAGGATCCAGTCTTAATCACCAAGAACCCACTTTTCTCCCCTTCCTGGAACCCAAAACAGATTAAGAAGCACCAGCAAGGGACCCCTGGGCGGCTCAGTTGGTTAAGCGGCTGCCTTAAGCTCAGGTCATGATCCCAGCGTCCTGGGATCGAGTCCCACATCGGGCTCCTTGCTCAGCGGGTAGCCTGCTTCTCTCTCTGCCTCTGCCTGCCACTCTGTCTGCCTGTGCTCACTCTCTCTGACAAATAAATAAATAAAATCTTTAAAAAAAAGAAGAAGCAGCACCAGCAAGTCTGTATTCCCACAGCTGCCCCCCTCCATCCCCACCAACTCTACAGTTAACACGTGGTCCTTTGTATTTCTTGCCTTCCATTTCCCTTGGGTGGACAGTTGGGTGGGTGGGGTTTCCTGGTTTGGACTTTCTCATGCTAATCTTCTCTGCATTGTTCCAATTTTAGTATATATGTTGCCAGAATGAGCACATTTATAAAATATTTTGTATCTGTAAAGAGGCAGACAGATGCAGTCTACTCATCACCAAGCTTAACAAAGAGAACATGAGTCGAGTTGAAGCCCCTGTGTACCACTCTCGAATCATATCACCCATCCCTTTCTGCAGTAGTAACTGCTATCTGGAATTTAGTATTTACCATTCCTAGGCAATTTTTATACCTTTACTATGTGATATTTGAATGCTTTAGCAATATATAGTATCATTTTGCATTTTGTGATCTCATATTTTATGTAGTCTTCTGCAACCTATTGTTCTCATTCATTCTACCTGTTTACTTCTTCCACTTCATTTGGGATATTTCTTCCAGTGTTAAATTATTCTCAACACCAGGGTACAGTGGTACTGTGTAATAGTGTTTGGCCCCTAAAACACAATTAGAAATGGCTCAGATTGAAAAATTTTATATGTCAAATTAACATATAATATAGTGTGTTAACTGTTAAACATATTTGTTTTATTTCAGGTCATAATATAACTTACCCTCTCATGCTTTTTCCCTGCCCCTTCTCCCCAAATCATCAACAGTAGAAAAAGAAGAAGAAGAAAACATGTCAGGACACAAATGGTAAGTAATGTGTTGTCTTTTCTAAAGTGGAAGAGGCTAATGGGAGATGAAAGCACATAATATATGCTCAATAAATGTCTGTTGACTAGAAAAATCAAGAGTCACATCAGCAGTAAATAATCTGTTAACCCCTATCCAGTATAGGGCATAGTCAAGTTCAACATCCCTTCTAAATGAAATATGGAAACCAAATAACCAAATATACTATAAGTTCTTATGTAATATATATTCTCTAAAAAATTAATTTATATATAGCTTTTCTCCTGAGAATCCAATGGATTTTCTTACTACGACTTTTTCAAATCTAATCAAACATTTTTTAGCGCTATTTTATTTATAACTTATTAGTGTTATCAGAGAACTAGATGTACAGCAGCTTTAAAATAGTGAGTGAACACAGACTCAGACTCATTAATGTGACTTTAACTGAACACTGGGGAGGCAATCCTAGTTGGAAGGTGCTGCTGTTAAGTAAAGTGTGGTGATCATGGCAATGTTCAGCACTGTCACTTACATGCCTGTAGCACATGTCAGCGGCATGTTAAACTTCTTATAGGTTCCAGGTCTGCCTCATGTAGTGTTTTTGAACCCTTTTGAACCCATGACCACCAGGCAATCAGATCTTTGTCATGCTTTATCTCTAATCCATAGCATGAAAAAATGTGATGTATATTTTCATGTTTCTAGTGTACAGTTAATTATAATAAGGAATATACTTTAAATCCATCCTCTCAGCAAAGAGGTAATCAGACCCAAGACCTCTGTAAAATCAAATGTCAAACTTTAAGAGAATTTTTGCATGTCTTAAAACATAATGAATTTTAAAAGATAATTAGTAAATGGCTGAGGGATTTAGTTTCCCTGAGTATCCCCATTTGACAACCCTCTAACTCACAGTTGTCATACTCTTTTCATAATTATTCTGTCTTGCCTCATTAAGACAAAAGGGTGCCTCCATCCTGTGACCCTCAAAATGGCTGTCATATCCTGGCAGCAGACCAGAGAAGTAGGTAGTCACCCACCTAAGAGAAATGGGAGTGCCCTGAGAAATGGGCCCTTCCCCAATGTCATTCTCTTACTTACTGTGCCACTTCATTGCTTGCTGCTGAAATGCAAGGGCTGTAGAGAACATTGAAATGAACACTGGACTGGGATTAAGAGGGCTGGATTTTAATTCTGTGAGACTTCTGGCAGAATTCATAATTTTTTAAAACCTAAGATACCTCATCTATTAAATGACAAAGGTGAGGGGTGTTCACCAGGTCTCTGAAGTCCCTTTGCTTTTTGTTGCTTTTTTTTTTTTTTCCAAAATGGAATTTTTTTTCTTCCATGACCTCTCACCAAAAATAAGTAAATAAAAGATACAATACAAAGAAGCCCACCCTATTCCCCACTTCTAAGAATTCTGTTTCCTTGAAATAACCCGTTTTGGAGGGTAAATCCTTCCAGTCTTTTAATGCACATATTATAAAGAGAGATTCTCTCTTTTATGTAAAAGTTACATGTTTCTTCCACTTATTTTCTCTGAGGTGAGCTCATAGTAAAACTTTTGTAGTTAAAGGATAGCAGATACACAATGTTACATTGGTTTCAGATGTATAACACAGTGATTTGACAAGTTAATACACATAAAAGTTTTTTAAAAATGCAGAAACTATGAAAGTCCCCCAAATCTTACTTCTGTAATGATAACCTTTATAAAGAAGTTATTTGCAACTCCTTCTGACTTTTTAAGAATTAATGTGTGGGTTGAAAATTGTATATGTTATCTGGGAGGAGAGTATAAATCAAATTTCAAGGTAGAGGCATTTTTGCATAGTGGTATAAAGCAGTTTGTGTTTTAGGACTCAGATCTGGCACATTTTGAGTGGTGATAGTGTGGAGTGGAAGAAGGTACATGTCTGCAGTGAGGAGAAACTGGGGTCCTGTGTAGACAAATGAAACAGGAACTTTAGGGGCACCTGGGTGGCTCAGTGGGTTAAGCGTCTGCCTTCGGCTCTGGTCATCATCTCAGGGTCCTGGGATCGAGTCCCACATTAGGCTCCCTGCTCAGCCAGGAGTCTGCTTCTTCCTCTGCCCCTCCCCCTGCTCATGTTCTCTCTCTCCCTCTCTCTCTCAAATAAATAAATAAAATCTTAAAAAAGAAAGAAAGAAAGAAAGAAAGAAAGAAAGAGGAACTCTAGACCAGACGAGGGTGTAAACAACATGAGAGGGGCAGGGAGCACTAATGGCTACATTTCTGTCAATATCCAAGATATTCTGATTTACAGATAATCTGATATACAGATTTCTATTTCATTCTCAATTTTTTTCTAATTTCTTTCTTACATACTTTTTTAAACGATTGTTTATTTGATAGAGAGCATGTGCAGAGGCAGAGGCAGAAGAGAAGGGAGTAGCAGGCCCCCCGCTGAGCAGGGAGCCCAATACGGGGCTCCATCCCAGGACCTCGGGATTATGACCTGAGCTGAGGCCGATGTTTAATCTGAGCCACCCAGGCGCCCCATCTTCCTTACATACTTTTTAATTTGATCTGTAGTATGTCTTCCTGAAGAATGGCTTCTTCCTATCTGTATTTTAAACACTTGGGCTTAAGAATTTAAGGTCTTAATATTAGAAATCAGTAACAGATTTTTCAAAAAAAATTTTTTTAAAATTTACTTTGACTATGGTAAGACTATTTAACATGAGCTCTGCTCTGTAAGTGTCTACTACAGTATTATTAATTGCGGGTGCAGTGTCGTACAGCAGATCTCTAGAATTTACTCATTGTGCATCACTGAAACCTTAGACACCCTTCATTAAGAGTTTCCCATTTTCCTCTCATCCCATCCAGCCTCTGGTAACCAATCTTCCACTCTCTGATTCTGAGTTTGACTGTTTTAGGTACCTCTAGGACAGATTTCAAATGTACTTTCTTTTACCCCCTTACCTCTCCTTTTCTGTTGTCACTTCACTGTTGGCCATAATGCTGGAGTGGAGGGAATGCTGGTGTCTGGCTTTATCCCTTCCTCACAGGCTGCTTGAGCCAAACACCCTGCCTGGTTGGGCCTCACTTTCTCTACTTGGAAAGGGAATATGTCCAGCCTGCTGAGAGCTAAACTCTTCAAAGTTTAGTTTCTTGATTTCCTGCGAAAGCTGCTTGGTTTCCTCACTAACTTTTAAGGTTTCAGAGTTCATTAGCATTGGTTAATTTTTTTGGTGTAATAATAACACAAGAAAATATCTTTATGTTTATGAATGTTGTATGATACAATGTTGAGATAGCTTTGTTCACACTAAAATAGCTTTGTCTTTATGAAAGTCATGAATAAAATACCTCTTTAAATGTGTTTTTTAGCAGTTATCCTTGGGACTTACAAGATCGATATACTCAAGATAAGTCAGTAGTAAATAAGATGCAGCAGAAATATTGGGAAACGAAGCAGGCCTTTATTAAAGCCACAGGGAAGAAGGAAGATGAGCATGTCGTTGCCTCTGATGCGGACCTGGATGCCAAGCTGGAGGTGAGCTGTTCTTCCTGTCAGTCTCAGCCCAGCCCCCTCACTGGGGTCACAGTCCTAGAGTGCATGAACCTAGACAAGTGTAGGTGTGCTTTATCTTTGAAAACAGGCAGACAACTGGTTCATGAGGAGAAAATCTAAGATGAGTTAAATTCAATCCCAGCACATTTTTTAAAAACCTACAAATTCTTGTGTAACCACCAGCATGCTTGAGTTAATTTGTTTTTTAAGCACTTTAATGCATTGCATGTGGTAAACTCTCATAAATGTTTGTTGTTTGTTATTGTTTGTTGAAAAAAATTAATTCAACCAAAGACTAATGCAACACTAGGGTCAAGCCAATGCTTACATATATAAAAAAGAGGAAAGGATGACAGCACAAGATCCTGGAAAGTAGGATCTAATAACCTTAGTATTGAACCCTGGAAAATTCTAGAATGAATTAGTTAAGCAGATATTTAGTTAGACTGGTTAATAATACAGTAAGCTGAATTACTATCTGGTTGATTCCCAAATACTAACATAACTGGTAAAAGGCCCACTAATCACCTGTCTTGCAGGACATTCTGCCAATAGTTTAGATTAAAATTTAAAAAGCATACTCATCCCTTCTGTGAGAAATACTGTTACATGCCCTGTTAAGAATTCAAAATGATCTCTAAGATTAACATCAGCTAAAATTAGTGAACTTGAACATTTTACGTATTAAAATAAAAAGCTCAGGGTTTCAAAAAAGTTTTCTGAGAAAGGTGGCCAGGATGGTAGAAACCATGGTTATACTGGACAGAGAGGTTTAAGGGGAGCTATATTAGCTGTTGATGGCATAGAAAGTTCTGTCATTTGGATGAAGGATAATTCATTCTCTGCATCCGAGGGGAGAATAAGACCCAGGGTCCCTATTCGTAGTATGTATCTCTCATGGAATTATCTCACATGTTTATGTGTTTGTCTGCTCCCCTTCCACTGAGAGATCCATATCAGCCTTACTCACCGTAGTACCCTCAACCAGATACACAGTACAGTGCCCGTTCAGTAAATAGTAACTGAATCAGTGTACAAGTTAGTGCAATTAATATTCATTCCCAACCCTTTCCCCATCAATGGAATTGTTCAAATTGAAGCTGGGCTTCATAGGGATGTCCTAATGGAGATGGCTACATGGGAGAAGCATGGCACCAGGAGGCGTCTGTTCTTATTTTAGTGTTCTTCATATTGAACACTAATTGAAATGATTATATGGTGCATATGCTTTTCATGTCTCATACCTTTATTTTTTCCTTTTTTTTTTTTTTAAAGATTTTATTTATTTGACAGAGATCACAAGTAGGCAGAGAGGCAGGCAGAGAGAGAGGGAGGGGGGAGCAGGCTCCCTGCTGAGCAGAGAGCCCATTGCGGGGCTCGATCCCAGGACCCTGGGATCATGACCTGAGCCAAAGGCAGAGGCTTTAACCCACTGAGCCACCCAGGCGCCCCTATTTTTTCCTTTTTAACAGCGTAGCAAATATAGGCATTATTCAGAAAGGAATTTAACACGTAATTATTACTTCATTATACACAATACAGTAATTTTTACTTATACTTAGTCTCTTGCAGCATTTTTACTGAGCCAACTATACTTTAACCAAAGTAGCCACTCTCCTAGGCACATAACATCTAAAGTACTTAGCTGTGACTCAGAATGTTACATGAATGAGGTTTCGTGTTGATGTTTATAGAGAGGACATACGTAAATGACATGCAAACCATTTTGATGTGTTCTTACCCTAAGTCATCCATGAAAGGCTAGCAAAACGAGCTTTTGTTTTGCTAGCACAGAGCAAGTTTCTGTGCCAAGTTATGATGGTCAGATTCTACTATAATCTGTTGGGAAGTTAATATAGAAACATTGCACTAATTTAACTCTATGTCAAAACTTGTTGATAAAATCATTTTCTCAAAAACTGCTCTTAAGTGCAAGAAGAGACAAAGCTAACCAGTGATGACAGGCACGTCTTTTAGGAGGGGTCTTTTGGGAGTGGCTGGTCTGTGGTTTCTTCATTTGGGTGTAGTTGCTGGAGTGTATGCGGTTGCAAACCTGCAGGACAGAACATTCCAGAGGCGTGCATTTTATTGCCTTTCATTTACCCCTCGGTTTTTAAAAAAGAACAGTGGGAACAGAACAGCTCTTTAAAAAAAAAAAAAAAAAAAAAAAAGACTTTATTTATTTGAGAGAGAGAGAGCATAAGGAAGGGAAGGTTAAAAGAAGAAGCAGATTCCCCGCTGAGCAGGGAGCCCAATGCAGTACTCGATCCTGGGACTCCAGGATCATGACCTGAGCCAAAGGTGGTTGCTTAACCAACTGAGCCACCCAGGCGCCCAATAGAACAACTCCTGAACATAATTGTTGAACTCCCTCGCTCCTATCTTCAAGAATTATTATGTGTTGGGCACCTGGGTGGCTCAGTGGGTTAAGCCTCTGCCTTCGGCTCAGGTCATGATCTCAGGGTCCTGGGATCGAGGCCCGAATCGGGCTCTCTGCTCAGCGGGGAGCCTGCTTTCTCCTCTCTCTCTCTCTATGCCTGCCTCTCTGCATACTTGTGATCTCTCTCTCTCTGTTTCAAATAAATAAAATTTTAAAAAAGAAAAAAAAAGAATTATTATGTGTTGGTGGTTTGTGAGCCAGAATCCTGATATAAACATTTTGCTAAGGAAGAAATTCAAACTGCTGATTTTCTGTTTTGTTTTATGGTCAAGGTTTTTTATTTGTTTGTTTGTTTCTATAGGGGACACAGAGTAATTAAATGAGATTTAGCAAAATTCATATTTTTACTGACCAAGTTTTATCTTATTAAGCATTTCTGAGAATGGTTTTTAATATTTTAAGCATATATGTGTGCATCTATTTTTTTAGATAATTGGTCATACTTATTATGAAGCAGATCATCTGTTTTAACTCAAATAGAGAAGTGCTTCTTAATACAAAGACACAACTATTACATCACCATGGCCACCATAAGCTAAAAGAGAGAGAGGGAAAGGAGGGAAAGCCTTACTCTGCTCATTAGGTGGCTCTTAAGAGACAGAATGTCTGCCAGGTTTTCTAACTGATACCAGCTGTGGTCTCTAGGTTCGTGGACAAAAGGTGGAGAAAGTGTGAAGTAGCTGTTTGACCTTCTCCTGAGCTTATCTGGGTTTAGAAGCAAAGACCAGGACCACTGTTAGTTAAAATCTAGTTTGATTCTTCTCAGTCTAGCCCACCTGCTTTTCCCTTACTTCCTTCTCTTATGGTCTTGGCATTATATTAGGTGTCTTCTCTGTGTATCTTAAGAAATCATTGGGTAAATAAGGAGTAATAAGGGCTGCTAGCTAAACTTCATTTTACCAGATGTCTTCTAAATGGAACATTCAACTGATTGATTTTTGTTTGCTCTTTATAGAATTGTTTTAAAATTTAAAAAAAAATTTAAGATTTATATTTATTTGACAGATATATAGAGAGAGGGAACACAAACACGGGGGTGAGAGAGGGAGAAACAGGCTCCCCCCACTGAGCATGGAGCATGATCCCAAGACCCCAGGATCACGACCTGAGCCAAAGGCAGACACTTAATAACTGAGCCGCCCAGTTCTATAGGGATAACAATCCCTATAGAATTGTTTAAGCATGCCATAAAATGTACTAGGATTACAAAGTAGCAAATGTCATGTTTTAAACATGATTCTTAATTGAGGGATCCCACATTTTTAAAAAAGACAGCAAAATGGTAAAAGAAATAAATTATGAATGAATATTGGGTTTCTGGTTTACCAAGTCTTCTAATTGGGCCCTTCATTCAGGATTTCTGTTTTTCAGCTATTATTTCAGTAATCTGGAGGAAATAAGTGTTCTGCAGATCTTAATTTAGATCACAGAAATGATCAATTCCAGTAAATATAGATTAATAGGAATGTATTTAAAGACTTTGGTCACAGTTCCTGCACCGTACACCATATAACACCAAGCATACTTGGGTTTGTGATCTTATTGTTATTGGGCAAATCAAACACTGTGGTTATGTTCAGATAATAATTTTTATTTCACTACTGTTTTAACGTAGCATTTTGTTTGTATTTTTATTATAGCTATTTCACTCAATTCAGAGAACCTGTTTGGACTTGTCTAAAGCAATTGTACTCTATCAAAAGAGAATATGTTGTAAGTATGCCCTAAGTATGAATAGTGATCAAATAAACAGTAAGAAACAGGATATTTTGCCTTAATGTATCATTTTGTATGTTTAGGAAGTAAGACAAAGAAATTACTATTTAAGAGTGCCTATCTTTTCTCTTTAATTGGTGGGAAGGAGGATCTCTAATAATTTTATCAGAAATCCTTTACATGGGTTGTTATCATTAAATGCAAGTTACTGTAACAAGAACTTTATATTGGGCTTCCTGTGGGTAAGTACATGCAATTTATTTTCCTAATTATAGAAAAGTTTTCTCCGTTTAATGTGTGGATTTTCTAAAATTTTGGGTTGTTTTTATTTGATTGCCCTTGCTCTCATATCCAGTTTTGTTCCTCTTCAAATGGAGAGAGAAAGCACAAACAGGTAATTTATTAACTGCATTTTGTTGGCAGCTCTTCTTCATGAGTTTTTTTTAAGTTGAAGATTGGGTTATTGGGGAACAAGATTCTGCCTAAATTTATTACCAACAGTTATCTCTGAAATACCAAATTGTGTGTTACTATGTTTTAAAATTTCCTTTTATAGATGATTTAATAGTATAATTTCTGTATTTTCGAGACTAGAACATAAGTTTTCCTGTTTCTGACTGCTGTTAGACCTCTTTCCAATAATCACAAAGTAACAATTGGTAATCTTCCTTCATTAGTCTTTGTTAAAACTATTGTGGGGGAAGTGCAAAGTCCTAGGGCTTAAGGGCAGAATTTCATAAATTTTCTATGTTACTGATTACTAAGTGTTGGAGCTAAGACTTCTCCAGGGCTATAACACCATAGTCTTGAGTTCTGAGGAAATTAAGACACATGACACATATCCCCCTACCATTTCTCTGTCGCACATCTAGTCAGTCTTAAATGCTGGTCCATTTGTCTCCTGAATAGCTTTCAGAGTCTCCATCCTCTCTCCATGTCTACTGTCACTACCATCACTCTTCTACTTGATTTGCTGTACCAGCTTCCTAAATGATCTCCCTGCCACCCCCAGCCCACTGTCTACACCACAAAGAACTCCCAATGATCTAAACTAGGACAAGTTAAGCAACAAAATAAGTAACAATAGTAACAGATTATAGTAAAGTAAAGTAAGCATCCATTAAGTCAGTGTAGAAATAGACAGGGGAGAAGAAACTCTTTCTTATAAAATAATTCTGGTTAATAAATATAGAAAGAATGAGGAAACCATAAAATCTCCATTAGGCAAATACCACAGTGAGATCTGTGGCAGGCAAGGTTCACGGGAAGATGGCACAGCCAGTGAGCAGAAGTTTGAGGAGAAACTGGGTATTGGCATAGCGTCATGTATTTCTCTCCAAGATTTTTAATAATTACAAAAGGAAGAAATCATAGTTTTACCATGGAGTAACTCAGTAGACAGACCTCAATCAAGTGATTGAGACTGACATCACCAGTGATAATGTGTGTTGGTATCATGTGGTCCTGATATCATGCACTAAGAGGCCACTTCACCTCTGTGGTTTCCTTCCGCAAAATATGTAACCGTAGTCTAATTATGAGAAATAAGACAAACCCAAATTGAGGGACATTCTGCACAATATCCAACCAGTACTCTTAAAAGGCATGAAGGTCATGAAAGTCAAGATAGGTTGAGAAACTGTCACAGATCGAAGGAGACAAGGAATTTTGACAACTTAACATCACATCCTGGATTCGATCTTAGAAGAAAAGTGGCATTAGTGAGAAAACTGATAAAATTCAAATAAGGTTATGTTTAAGAGTACTATACCAATGTTAATTTCCTAGTTTTGATAATTGGACCATGGTTATGTAAGATGCTAATGTTAGGGGAAGCTGAAGAAGAGTATACAGGAATTCTATTCTATTTACAGTTTTTCTATAAGCTTAAAATTATTGCAGAATAAGAAGCTTTAAAAAATGTACAATGGGGGCACCTGGGTGGCTCAGTGGGTTAAGCCTCTGCCTTTGGCTCAGGTCATGATCTCAGGGTCCTGGGATCAAGCCCTGCATCAGGCTTTCTGCTCAGCAGGGAGCCTGATTCCCCCTCTCTCTCTGCCTGCCTCTCTGCCTACTTGTGATCTCTCTCTCTCTGTCAAATAAATAAATAAGTTCCTTAAAAAAAATGTACATTGGATCATGTTGCTTCTCTGCTGTAAACCTTCCAGTAGAACCTAAGGTGAGATCCAGACTTCCATACCATAGTCTATAAATTCCTACATGATATGGCCCAGCTCGTGTTTGCAGCCACTTTTGCCCTCACCCACCATGTCACCTGAGGCCTTTTGCACTCACTGTTTCCTCTGTCTGGAATGTCACTGGCCTAATCATCTCATAAGTGGCCCCTTCTTGCCATTCAGAGCCCAGCTTAATGGTCACCTGCTCAGAGAGGCTTTTCCTGACCACTCAGCCCACGCAGCAGCTTCCCTTACTCCCCTTCTCTTATTACTCTATCTGGTATTTTTCTTTTTGTGTTTTGTGTTTGTGATTATGGATTTTTTTCTGTCTTCTGTTGCACAAACAAAAGCTCCATAAAAACAGGGACTTTGTGTGTCTTGTCCATCTCTATATTCCCAGTGGCAAGAATAGTGCCTAGTATATATTAGATCATCCATAAATCTGTGCTGAGTGAATTAATGCTGCCAAACTAATTGGTTTTATAGTTCTTTTGTTCCCTTTCTAGGATACATCTGAAAATCGAATCAGCAGCTAAAAATGAATAGGATTTTTTTGTGTGTGTCTGAATTCTTAAGTCCCAGTTAAGTTAGACCTTTTAAGTGGAAACTGGCAAATCATCTGATATGTGTGCTGCACCTGAATTTAAACTCCTATAAATTAATTTCAGTATTTGAATTTTAAAGTGAACATTAAGGAATGAACCTCCCTTCTTGGAAAGTGACAGTCATCGCTTAATAACCCAAGCTGGATTCCACCTCCCTCTGAGCAACACTGCCAATTAATTAGAGTCCAGCTCTTAAAAGGAAACCTGTTTCCTACCCCAAGTTTAATCTTCAAGTGCATAAAATAACAAAAAATAATTTTTCAAATGCTTCAACCTACTTAGGCTTATTAAGAGAAGAGTGCCTTTCACCAACTCTATAATCATGAATTGGTTTCTTCCTAGTCTTAAGCTAAATGTGTTCATTTGTATGTGACTTGAGACTTCAAGTTAAAAAAGGTGACAGTAGCCTCATGCTATTATGAACAAAAATGTGAAATTGCTCTCCATAGGGACATACTCATTGTGGATTTGAGTGAGTCCCATATTAGTTAATAGAAGTTACAGAAGGTATTAAAAAACAACAAAACTTCTTATAATTATAGGAGTTTTTTTAAAATCTACCTAGAATCATGGCATAAATATCAAATAGGCATTTAAAGTAAAATAAAGTGGGATAGGAGGTGGTGGGGAAAAATAAAGTATATGAGGATAATAAGGCAAAAATTATAGTTAATTTAATTGTACAAGCACTTTACAGTGCCCTGAATAAGATTTTATGGTTAGCTTGGGGAACCCATAGTTAGATGAGGTCCCTGTCCTGAGAAAGTTAGAGTCTTATGGGATAGACAGACACATGCCCAACAACAAACACCCACTATTATCATAGCCGAGAGGGCGCTACTGTCCCAGAGAAACAGGGCTCAACTACTTCACAGCCTTGGAGCTTTGCCTAGTGAACTTGATTCTTGAGGGACAGAGAGAAAGGAGGGGAGTCATTTATTTCTCAGAATAAATGAATTCCAAAAGGCTCATCCTCTGGAAAGTTTAGTATGAACTATAGTCACAAATTAATAAGGAAGCAGTAGCAATTATAACTTTCACCTTTGGATTTGTGGTTCCTGGCTAATGCTCTCATTGGAGAGGTTATGTCAGGAATGGGATGCATTTTGAAGGAATTCTGGATTGTTTATGAATAGGGACAAGAATCCTAGTAGCATTTAAAAAGCATGTTTAGAGAAACATGATATATAAATTCATAAATACAGAAGTGTGAAATAAGAATAGTGTTCAGAGTAAGTCCCTAGAAATGCTGTACTTGGAAAAGAAAGCATTTAGGAAGCTCAGTGTCACTCTTTGCTCAGCTGTTGGTGAATGTGGATTGGGGACCAGTGGCCGTGTAGCAGCCCACTGTTCCATTGTTTTGGAGACACACATTTTTATAAATCAGCCCCAAGTGTAGAGAGAGTGTTTTGCTATTATAAATATTGATGCTATGATTATCTTTCCACATGCAGCTTTGTGTCCATTTTACTAATTTCTTGGAATATACTCCTAACAGTAGAAGTGCACTGTCAAAAGATACATAGACTTCTGTAACGTTTTAAGTTTATGGCCAAAGGACTCTGCAGAAAGCATGTACCTACCAGTCATTAGCTCACCAGCGGTGCCATCTCAGGTTGTCTTTAAAAATAAGGCCAAGATTAGGGATGACCAATTCACTGTTCCAGCTCTGCATTTTAAAAAAAACCCGTAAAGCCATGGGGTACCTGGGAGGCTTGGTCAGTTAAGTATCCAACTCTTGATCTCAGCTCAGGTCTTGATCTCAGGGTCATGAGTTCAAGCTCCATGTTGGGCTCCATGCTGGGTGTGATGCCTATTTAAAAAAAAAAAAAAAAAAAGACCCACGAAGACATCAAGCTGATTACCCCCCACCCTCAATCCCCACTCCCACTTCCAACCAAAAACCCACTTCATGAATAAGGTATTGGAATTGCTTTATTGTCAAGTGGAATGTAACTCAGAAAGCAGAGATCAAAAAGTGAGAGAGAATAAGCAGAGGAGACTGCCTCTATGTCATAGGCAGCACAAAAGATTCCCACAGTTATACTCGACAAACCCAACTTTTTTATTTCAGCTTGAAGCAGCACATCATCGACTTGCTTTTCAGTGCAGAGGTCATTTTCTGGTTCTGATTACAGGGCACCAAACGCACTGACAGATGTGCTCAAGTGAATTTGATCTCTCCTTTTGTAAATGGAGGGGCAGCATGAAAGTTAAATGGTGGGAGGGGGGAGCTTACCTTGTAGCTTGCCACGTGGATTTAATTTCATCCCGTCTTGGCCTCTGAAAGAGTGAGGACCTTGGGGTGTGTCTCTCTGCTCTGTAACAAAAATGCTCATTGTTCATGGCTCCTTTTGGTCTTTTCTTCATCAGTCTTGTCTCAAGAAGAAAACGAACTGGGAAAATTTCTCCGATCCCAAGGCTTCCAAGATAAAACCAGAGCAGGAAAGATGATGCAAGCAACAGGAAAGGCCCTCTGCTTTTCTTCCCAGCAAAGGTGTGTGGCCTTCAGTGGGGCTCCCATTTGGGGGGAGGGGAGGTCAGCAGAGAATCTGGAATCCACCCAGCGATGGAGGGGACTCTCCAGTTGTTCACTAGAAGGCTCTGTCCTGAGACTGAGAAGCAGCTCTGTTCTCAGTTCTTAGCCTGTTCTTAACTCTCTGATTAATATAACATGTATGATTTTTTTTCCCTCCCAATAATTTGTGTTTTTTTCCCATATTTCTCCTGGTCTTTAGGGAGCATGTTATATGCCAATCACTGTGAGTGCTGCCTAGGCTTATGTTTGACCTTGAGCATTGCTCATAGCAGTAAGTCTGGTCCCCTTCCAGCAGCTGATTAAAGCAGGAGCCTAATGAACCCAGGTGGAAGGGTTCCTTCTCTGCTCTCCGTGGGCCAATTAACTTTGGAGAGGTGGTGTTCATGATGCCCACTCAGACGCTGGGCCAGCAACATCAGCAGCATCCCCTAGAAGCTTGTTAGAAATGCAGAATCTAGGCCCCATCCCACAACTGCTGAATCCAAATCTGCATCTTAATGAGATCCCCGGATGATTTCGATGCACATTTAAGTTTGAGAAGCTCTGGGAGAAAGGAAATTGTGGCAGATGAGTGACATTTTTTTTTAAACACTCTCATGACTCAATTTTATGGTTGGTGTAGAATAAGCAAGGGCCCCTGCGTATAGTTGCATTTTGTGCCTGAGAAAAGTGACACTCCTCTATTCCTCCTCCCCCAATAACTAACAAGCCCAAAAATGTCACTCAATCATATTGGGCAAGATTGTACCTAAATAAGGCATCGTAGGTAGTTTCCAAAAATGTTCAGGCTACGAAAATTTCACTTACTCAAATTACTCAACATTTTCTTCTCGTAATTTCTCCTTCTTTCCTTCCCTGTGGGCCAAGAGCAGGCCATCAGCCTGTTACACACACGTTCCTATGAAATCCTGAGAAACGTGGAGTAGCAGGAAGAGACTGGCTGTGTCAGTTTCCCATGGTCCCACTCCTGGGTGTGTTGGTTCTCCTAATAACATTTGGACCCCACTTTGTGGGCAGTGCCAACTTTCGTATTTGAATTAAAACCATTTTCAATAGTTCTGTGTCTATTTCCCAAGAAAAGTGTTGTTTATAATTTTTAATTGTACCTTTTTATCTGTAGTAGTTTTTCCTTGTAAAAATAATACTCACTGAAGAAAAAAATTAGGATAGACAAAAGAAAATTAGAAAGCAATTAAAATTTTACTGAGAAATGACCCACTTTTAACCCCTTGGTAGGTATTTTCTATGCATATGTACTTACCCCACCCTTGCCAAGATAACTGGTTCTCAGTCTTTCAAAGAGTCAATTCTCATATGTTAAAACATGTAATTAGGGGCACCTGGGTGGTTCAGTGGGTAAGCCTCTGCATTCAGCTCAGGTCATGATCTCAGGATCCTGGAATCAAGCCCCGCATCGGGCTCTCTGCTCAGCCGGCTGCCTGCTTCCTCCTCTCTCTCTGCCTGCCTCTCTGCCTACTTGTGATCTCTCTCTCTCAAATAAATAAATAAAACCTTTTAAAAAAAAAAAAGTGTAATTACCACTAATTTTAGTGGGAAAAATACTTACACATACTCATATGCCAAAATGTATATCCGTTTGTGGGAAACAGAGCCAAATCCCTGGAAATCACTACTAGAGTCACCATTACTGATCACATGTGTTTTATCCTATGTCTCTCTAGTTACACCCTTTCAGAGTTGTATGCCAAATTATCTCCCAGAGAACACATAGGGTACCTTAAGTTTATAGAACCTAACCTTTAGTTACTAACAGAAACAGTAAAAGAAATTAACAAAAACAATGCAAGTGATACTCCAAAGTATCGTCACTATAAACTAGCAAAGTGCATCCTATCCATAATTTAATGCAACTTGGAGAACTTTAAAAATTTGGAAGGTGACCTCCTGCAAAATGGCTCTGGTTTCACAACACTCAGCTGCTGACCAAGCACATAACATCCTAACCAGTCCTTCTAAACATAAAGAAAGTAGAGGATGACATAAAGCTCTCATGAATTTCAATTTTCAGATCTTCAATGGTTGTAACTTAGGAAATACCAGAATATATTTTTAATATATATAGCATATAGCAAATATATATGTATATATACTTTATATATATATAATAAAATATAGCTTTAATATAAATAGCATCATGCCATGCAGTTTCTGTACAGCAGTGCTTACTGATCATTTAGCAAATCAATTTTTTGATCAAATAACCATAACACTTTTGCTATCTATGTACACTTTTTTTTTTTTTAGATTTTATTTATTTATTTATTTGACAGAAAGAGAGAGAGAGAGATCATAAGTAGGCAGAGAGGCCGTGGGGGCTGGGGCAGGCTCCCCACTGAGCAGAGAGCCCCATGCAGGGCTCGATCCTAGGACCCTGAGACCATGACCTGAGCCAAAGGCAGAGGCTCAACTGAGCCACCCAGGCACCCCCCTATGAATACATTTTTAAAAACATCTATACCATAGTATTTCAGGGCATGCCACAGTGCATTTAACTTGAGCCCTTCTATTACTTAGGTCACTTTTTGCATTTTCCTGCTAAAGGATAAATGTCTTCAGAGTAGACCTGCAGATACTTTATTAATTTTCCCCTCTGGGTAGATCTTCATCCATGAAAATGTGCACCAGTCTTTCACTGAAGCTTGATATTTCTGGTTATTCAGTTTTTCCTTGATCTAGATGCACTCCCTGGTAGCAGCAGGGAACAGGTTTTCACCTTTCTAATCTTATATGAAGCAAGGTACAGAAAAAAAATAAGGTGATTTTATATGCTTTCTTCTATTCTTCAAGATCTTAACATCTATCATCATGTCATTACCTCTTCAAAGGTTTCTAACTTTACAACAGTCAAAAAAATCGAGAGTATTCTATTCACAAGACTCTTATTCAACCAGTATAGGGAAATTGGTAAGATCCAAGGTAAGAGAAAGAGGAGTCCAGAAATGAACAGGATCCTTAGGGGGACAGCTGAGGCCTCTTTCTCTCTTTAAATAGAAGGTCCCCAGTTTTATAAACCTTCACACTGGCATTTGTTTTACTGACTTATTTGATAGTCATTGCTACAACTGTGCATTCAGTTTGATGAAAAGTGAGTATTAAATTTAACCCAATGGTGATAAAGCACAAGCTTACTTTATGGCACCATAATGTTTCCGAAAACCACCTGCAACACTTAGGTAGGATGATGCGATCAAACTGTTTTTAGAGAAATGCCAAGTGTTTAAAAGCAGTGCTTTACAGAAAAGAGGAAAATAGGAGAAAATAGTAAAAGGGTTTTTTTTTCCTTAAACAGTTTATTGCCCCCGTCTATAATCTGACAGTGCTGCTGAAACTGCCAAGCACCGACTTCAGCTCACTAACATTACTAGTCTCTTCAGCTTCATAAGTTTGCCTTTAAATTAAAATGTAATTATTCATCTTATTTTCATTTTTTTAATCTATGTCCTGCAACCTCATGAAAACAACTGTATTTTAAGAGTATAAGTCATGTGACATTACTCATTTTGGGTAGGGAAGAGGCAGTATTTCCCTCCCCTGCAAAATGAGTATTTTATCCACAGTTTGATATGCCTCAAGCTTTTTTTTTTTTTTTTGCTAAATAAATAATGGCATTTTACAGCTAATATTATAATTATTTTATATCTCTCTCTTTGCATAATACACATGCATTTATGGTGTAGGATCCTCAAGTTTTGTTTCTCTGTAAGGATCAATCATCTAACCTATCTGAATGTGCCTAACATGTAGGTCTACAGTGCTTCTCTTCCTTTCTAAACCATTTAAACATGTTTCTGTTTGGGTCACCTGGGTGGCCTCGTCAGTTAAGGGTCTGGCTGTTGATTTTGGCTTAGGTCATGGTCTCAGGGTCATGAGATTGAGCTCCACATCGGGTTCCACATTCAGCACAGAATCTATTTAATTGCTCTACTTCCCTCTGCCCCTCCCCCTGCTCACGCACTCTCTCTCTCCCTCTATCTCTAAAATAGATAGATAGATAAAATCTTTTTTAAAAATTGCTTCTGTTTGTGCTCCGTTCTCCGTGACTGTTGGAGCAAGCAGCAGGTTGCCCTAGCATTTGGAGAGTAATCTAAAATGACCTAGTAGGGGAGATCCTAATTGTGCACCAGTCCATCCCTCCTCAAAGGGCCAGGCTTCAGAGGAGCAGAGACAGGGATGCCAAGAACAGAAATGGGAAATTGTTATGCCTTGACCTTTCTCCATTAACACGGGGTTGGTTCCAACTCCAGACACTCTTTGCTCAGGCATGAGACTACCCCCAACAGTCCTGTTGGAAATACTTCCCAGTGGTCCAGTTAAATAACAGGGATCCATACATGGGTAATCTGATTGACTCATCAGTTCATCCATTTCAATCAAATATTTCTGCAGCATTGTCTATATTTCAGGCACCGTTCTAGGCTCATGAGTTTAAGATAGGTAAACTGTCAAGGATGCACACTTCTGGCCTGCTTGGTTTCAAGATTATGGCTTTATCCTCTTGTCTAGGTTGGCTTTGAGAAATCCTTTGTGTCGATTTCACCAAGAAGTGGAGACTTTTCGGCACCGGGCCATCTCAGACACTTGGCTGACGGTGAATCGCATGGAGCAGTGCCGGACTGAATACAGAGGGGCATTATTATGGATGAAGGATGTGTCACAGGAGCTTGATCCAGACCTCTACAAGCAAATGGAGAAGTTCAGGAAGGTAGGAGATTTTATGAAGGTTACCAAGAGGGGTACCTACTGGAAGGTAATGAGGTGTGATTTGAATCACTCTAGTGAAGAAGACATAACTCAAAAGCACCAAGGATGCAATTAATCATTGCCAGTGTCTTTTTATGTGACAGAATACCAATTAATGTGATCTATAATTCTCTAAGGGTAAGATAGAAAAGACAGCTGGAAATCCTGGGATTTAGTAACTGGTTCTAATTGAAGTCGGATTTTCATATAATGTAAACTTTTTTGTAACGTTGTCACTTCAAAATGCTTTTTCGTGCATAACTAAAAATCAAGATTAGATCAAATGAAACTGCAAAGTGAGGGCATGCTATTGGAGAAATCTTTTTTAATTGCTAATGAATTTTAAAATTAATAGAATAATACTCCTTTGTTTTGTGAAGTGGTTGAGAAGTGGCAGGGTTTGGTTGTGGGATTAACTAATGTTCCATCTGCAATAGACCTCTTCAGAAATTTGTCTGAAGAGAATAGTTAGCTGAGAAGGTGATATGCTCTTAAATTTCCTTGAAATAACTGGTGAGCAGCGGAAGAACAATGTTTCCTTGCTGTTTTAATTATCTTGTATCTATTCAGCCATTTGGCTACTTGGCCATACAAGGATCTATCACACCACTAGGTGGCAGTCATACACTGAGTATTTATGAAAATGCGGAGACTGTTGTATACAATCTTGGTAGTTCTTTGTTTGGTTGATTTGGATGTATTTCAGGGTGTGAAAGAAGAAAAATCAAGCAAATGTCAGGTTTGACATAATATTATGTCAATTATCTTACTCATTTCAAATGACCCATTTGTAATTAGTGATGTTGCTTAAAATCCCTAGATTTCTTTGTTGGTACATCATGTGGAATTGTGAATGGGAAACCCTGCTAGTGATAGATGAAGCGTGTGGGATGGGGGGAAGGAGGGACCTTCTGTTGCTTGATAACTGGGTCACCAATTCCTGATGTACTATTAGATTGATACAAATACTTTTAAAAGCCAAATCTTAACTTCATTTGTAATTTGGAGTCCCTCTCTATGAAATCAGAGTTTATTTTATTTCTAATTATAAATAACCTTAATGTGGTAGCAGCATCTAACTTCTTGGCAAGGCAGATTTCTGAATTCATGGGAAATTTGAACTGAACAGTAAAGCTCACTCATTTTATAAAAGAGAAAATTAAGGCCCAGACTACGTTAGAAATTTCCTGACTTTCTAATCAGGCCAGTAATTTGGTTTGTTTTTGATACTTTATTTGTGGTATAGAGGAGGGCGGAGTAGAGAAGTTAAAACAAAACAAAAAACCTTATCTGCAGAGAATAGTGCCCATCATTTTATATCTACTCTCTCCTTTAAGCTTTGCAATAATCAAGACACAGATTTAATTTTATAGGTGGAGAAAATGATATCTATGTTAACTAGCCCAAGGTCAGACAAGGAAATGAAGGTTAGAATCCTAGAAAATATGCATGATTTTTTCCTTAAAAGAAAAAGACTGACCTAAAATTGACATTTTCTTTATAATACCTGTCCTTTGATTTATTCACTTAACAAACATTTATTTGAGCACCTTTTATGTACCATGTAATAAAAATAAAAATACAGGGCACCTGGTTGGCAGTCAGTTATGCCACCGACTGGGTTTTGGTTCAGGTCTTGATATCATGGGCCATGAGATGGAGCCCCAGGTTGTCATTGGGTTCTGCACTCAGTGGGGAGTCTGCTTGAAGATTCTCTCCCTCTTCCACTCCCCCTGCCCTGTTTATGCTCTCTCTTCTCTAAAATAAATAACTCTTTAAAATTCTTGAAAATACGATTATTCTGGAAGGCAGGACAATTTCATGTAGAATTGTGTTTATTTGGTTTTATTTTGGAGCATAGTTACTAGCTGTATAATGATGAATAAAAACCAAGCTCTTCGTCATTTGGTTTGAATGTTGAAATATTACCCACTCTTTAGTGTCATCAATCTGTTGATTTTGGAAAATATGGTTTAAAGGAATCCTTTGCCATGCAGAAGTAGCTGAGAGATGCCTTACTCTACAATCCCTTGTGTGCTGGATTTAATTTAATAGCTGAACATGGTGTACTTTGAATTTAGGGAAAGAATTTGTTTTTAAGAAGTCTATATTCAGGGCTCCATCCTCCACTATATTAGGCAGGACTGTCGATGAGGACAGGGACCAGACTCATCTCTCACTTTCATACCCCAGGGTCAGACTAGCACCTGGCCCAGGTTAACATTCGTAGAGCATGCTCGGATTCCAGCCATTCAGTCTGAGGTCCCAGACCCATTGTTTCTCCAATCAGTAGGGCATTCTGACCCCACACAACTCACCTTGTGACATTTTGGAAATGACCTAGGGTTTTGCAGTTAAGAAATAGCATTATCAATTTGTGACTTGCTGCTTTCTTTGGAATGAATTTAAATTGTGGAGTTTGCTGTTTGCTTGGAGTTTATAACATGAAATTTAACCGTGAGCAAGCTTGAGTGTTTTGTCCCAGCAGGATTCCATTTTGAACAGAGTCTCCATTCATCTCTCAGAAACATGTTACCATAAGGAATTTCTGTGTCCTCTGGGAGAGGGGTCCAGCTGTGGGTGGTTCCTTAGGAGTCACTGTGGGAGCGAGAATCGCAGTTTCTGCAGAGCCAGCTGCCACCTTCATGGTTCAGCTGATGAATCTGGAACTAAAGTAGTATTTTGCTATAAATTCAGTTATTTGGGTTCACACTTTCTGAGGAGATAGAATTCTAATTCATCCTCACAGATATGATCCCATGGTTGCAGTCCTAAGTATGCATTCATTCATTTACTCATCCTCCCAACAAATGATATGGAAGCCCTACTGCGTGCTGGGCCACGCACACAAAGATACAGTAGCAAATAAGCAGGCATGATCCCTGCCCTCCTGTCGTGTGTCGTCAGTTGGGGATGGAGCAAGTAAATGTGATGCGGTAGGATGGATTGTTGTCTGAGGTGACACATGGTGTCAAGGAGCACCTAGGAGGGGCTTCCTGAGGAAGTTGCATCTAAACAGGATAGGAGAAGATGAGCAGGAAGGACTTGGGTGGAGGGAGAACAGACAGCAGAGCAGAGTTCCAGGCTGAGGGAGACACTTAGGCCGTGGCTTTTAGATGAAAGCAAACAGGGCACCTGGAAGGACCTGAAAGGTTTTTATAACCAGAGTACAAAAGGCAGAGCAGGGGTGGGAATGGGGGTGCCTGTACTATGGCAGCTGGACAGGTAAGCAGGGCCAGACTAGAAGAGGCATCTCTGCGTGGGGGTTGGGGGGAATGGAGGGTGTTGAGGCAGGAAGGAGCCTTTCTGCTCTCACTAGCTCACCCAGCATGTAAGGTGGAGAAGGGACTGGGAGGACCCAAGCTGTTGGGAAGACGTGGGGGAGACATGGGTGCCCCTGATCGAATAGGCAAGCAGACCAGGGAAGGGTATGTTCTGCCCTCTCCCACATTCTGTAATCACACCATTTAATTATAACAGCTCTTCATTCTTCTTAGAAATGAGCAGAATAGTATAAATAAATAGCAAGATCAAGTGTACTTTACCTTCCAACCAATGCTTTTCTCATCATGTTTTCAAAGGGCTAAAAAAACTTTTTAAATAACACGCAGTGAGCATGACCAAAATGATGAATGAAAAACTTAAAATTAAACAAAGCAAATAATCTGTTTTCATTCTGGCACCCTTTGAAGCACATGGGCCTGATGACAGATCTCTCAGCAGCAACACTAATAAGCATTTATTAAGTGCCTATATTTGGTGATGGAAATACAAAGAGGTGGAAAAGCTTGATCCCAGCCTTCAAGAAGGACCCTGCTAGTCATCTGTTCCTTGTCAAAATTACTGTGATGAACAAGACACCTGGAGAGTGTGGCCATATGTAGCTATTCTCCTAAAGACCAAATAATAGGAAATAGATGAATTTCAATGCGCAGAGCTGGATGGCGTAGGAGCGGTTGGAAGCCCCCTCCTGACAGTGTGATTCACCCTAGGAGGGAAATGGACAGGAGACGACACCATGAAGTATTTTACGAGCAGTTAACAACGTGTGATATACGTGCCCTTTGAAGGCAGAGTAAAAGCGTATGATTTAAAAATAGAAGTCAGCTTCTTGTAGCAGATTACATCAGCTTAAGTTGTGAGCTCACAGAAGAGCTTTTGCAGCCTGATGCCCTTGAGAGAGTCCTCCTGTGGTCAATTAAATGTCTTGTTTTTCTTGAAAGTCAGAAATGGGATGGAAGGTAATTATTCTAAATGGAATAAAAGCTGCGTTAGGTGTAAGAAAATAGTTCTGAATCCTCTAAAGAGATAATATGGAAATGTATACGTGGGCATTTGTTATGAGTCGGAGTCCTCATAGACAAGGACAAGGGAACCAGTGTTTTAATGAGGGCCATTTATTAAATGGCTTAATCAAATCCTACAGCATTTGTCTAGGGTTTCATCAGCATAATTCAAAAGGGTATTGTAGGAAACGTGAATGATACACACTGGTATTCTTGGGCTTGTGTCTATTTAAAATAGTGTTAGATTTTGGAGAGCTGCTAATTCACTCTAAGTCCTGTTAGCAAGGAATATGTTAGTGTGAGATGGTTTGTTAATAAAATGGTGGTGGCTTAATATGTGGGGCCTTATTTGGGTCATCAGCCAGGGGTGTTCCTGTGTCCCACTGAAGGTTTGGGTCTATAGAGCTTGGTCAAGGACTAGTAAACAGCAGTATTGACGTTAGAGGCTTTTTTTTTTTTTTTTCCTGTGGACAAAGACTTGGGTTAATTAATTTGACAGTATCATTAATTACTGCTGAAATCATTGGTCTTTGTCAGAGGTCGGGCTCTTTTAGCAATTGAGGGCAGGTCCCATGGGAGCTGGAGACGCCAAGTAATGCAGGAATATCACTGCTCAGCCATCTCCTCATTCTGTGTTAAAAGCCTTTCCTTTTTGCCTGAGCTATCCATCCAGCTT